GGGGGTGTTAAATACATCCTAGTATATAAGATTCCATAAACTTGAGGGCTCTGACCCATCGAATACTTGCATCAGAATTTACTTTGTGTCTAATTTGCCAACGTTTTTATCAGAATTCTGTGTTCTTTTCTGTCTATTCCTAATTCTGATCGAATTTGAATATTTTTGTATTATCATTATTTCCACTGATATGAATTTTACCCGTCATTAATTTGTTGCATAATGTGACATGTGATAATTCTGTGATATCGGAAGTCCATTTCTTCTGTTCAAATGTTTCCTGTCGATTCATCCAACAATGTGTGTAAGGGAACAGCCGAATCTGGTAGAGTTAAATGCATCCTAGAATATAGGATTCCATGCAATCGGGTCGGTGCCACAAATCGACAGTGGTCGGCCGCATGTTCAATCATACTCAAATCGGCCACGGGCTATTGACTGACATGTCGAAGAATGCCACGTCTGTTTTCGTTAGACTCACACGTGTCACTTAAACGTATTGATATATTGGCGGGCTTTTTCAAACACGTGTCTCGTATCGCTGGTCGCCACGCGTTGAAAATGGCATCAATTTTGCCTGACACTACTCTTACAGGTTTATCCGAACATCACAAGTCGGTTTGTGGCCAAATCCGGTATCTGCCTTCTTCATCATCGTTTCCTGTCAATTACGTTTTTGGCCGATTTGAATGTTTGTACAGTTTTTTAGACTTGGCTGCTTGTGCTGAGATTCAGAACATGCATATAAGCTGAGCAGGCTGACTGTAACATCATTTTAGAACAACGAGAAACCATGCTTCATGTCAATTGAACTACATACTTACTTGTTCGTTTATTTATTTATTTACTCGCAGACTCGCATACAGTAACGTTAGCTTCTACCCATAATAAGAGTTTAATGACAGGATCATCAAGGTAAAATCAATAAGGAATGACTCGATCCTCTTCCGGGTACAGGTGACTTAAATAGATGTAGAAATTAAGAAAAGGAGGCTGATCCTATCAGACAAACTGGTTAAGCATAAACCACTTACTCCAGCCCGTGAATTTCTCACGTGGGAACCGAAACATGGCAAACGTCGACCAGGACCTCCTGCACGCAACATGGAGGGACATGGTAGAGGCTGACCTGCTTTCAGGAGAGAACATTTCCTTCTACGATGCAAAACCAGTGGCTTATAGCACATGTGTTGAGAAGCTGTGAATACGGTGGACGTTCTGTGATCATCAGGATCACTGCTCATGGTGATGATTAACAAAAGCACAAACAAATGCATTTATATCCGTGTTCGGCTCTACTGGTGCTAACATACCACGAAGCCATGTTTTTGAGACTATTCCGTGTAAAATCCGGCGAATTGATAAGGGATTGTTGTTTTTTCCGGCAGTATAAAAAGTGGTAATCTGCTAATAAGCCCGTAAAAAGAGTTCATTTTTATGTATATTATTCTCATGTCATTTATCCAGATTTGCTCGGCATATTCGCGCCGTCTCCTTGCATCCGTTAGCCCTAGGGAGTCATTTAAATATGTCACAGCTGCATATTGTTTTAGCACTTGCAGTGCACTGGCGCAAAACTGCGTCGCTGAGATGGATTGAATGTGAGGACGTTCAAGCTCCAACTATTTGTCACTGTTTGATTTCAAAATATGCGGTAAATAAAACAAAAAATGATTTAATAACTTGATGTTCAGGGAAAGAGAATGACAAAAGGATATGTGAGCCACTTTCAGAGAGTAAGTGCAGTTTTCTGCTCCTTTTCTCAAGGTCTGAATAACATGTTTTGCTTCTGTTTTTTGATTTGTTCCTCGTGCTGACTATTCACACTCACTAGTCTGTTTACGGGTGGGTTAAGACGGATCCCAGCCCTAAGAGGCGCTCGTATCAAACAGCATAGCCGCACTTGTTGCATATATTCACAGGACCCACTAAAACTGGAAGCTACACGATTTCTGGCTGATTCTACTGAAGCAACGTGAGGCGAACTCGTTGCTCAAGGAAATTAGCTGTTAGAGGAATTTTGCCGGATTTGAAACTGACACTCCGGAGTTCGAAATCGAACTCTTACGACTACTTCAGCTCTCCAGAAGATGGCACCAGTTTATTAGATTATGTAGTACCAATTTTCATATTCATGCGGTGAAAAGTGCTCCGGCATCTTAGGCATACGCAGCCTCGTTGTTGAATATAGCCATAATTACAATCGTCGGCTAAATTACCTACCTTAATAGTGACTTTCTGCAATATCTGGAATATAAAGATTGACATGTCAAAAAGCAGCAAAGGAGGGCGATCTTGT